CCTTTCTTCTGCTTGATCAATTCGACTGTTAAAACCTGTGCATACTTCGCGAAGTTCTTGTATTGTATTCTTCAGTTCCATTAATTCACTTATATTCCTCTCTAGATTGTCTATTCTCGTTAGGATCTCATCAAACATTTTTTCAATGTTCTTAATTTCTTTACATTGGGCTAGAACATGTTCTTTTAACTCACAGAAGTTTCCTATGAAACCTTCTGAAGCCTAAATCTGTTAATGGAACGCACTTGTTCTCCATCAACCCTTGTTGATGAGGAACTGTGATCCCCTGTAGAGGCATTTTGATTTTGGGTATTTTCAGCCTTTTTACGCTGGTTTCTTCTCATCATTGTAAATTTATCCACCTGTCATCTTTGTAATTACTGACTTTCAAATTAGGTTTCTGAGTGGACGTCCAACTTGTTGATTCCCAGTGCCGGAATCTGAGCAACCCACTGTGCAGACCAAAACAGCGGCGTTAAGGTTCGTGTTGCTTTTCTGCCCTGGAATCTCTGGTCTGGCTTCCTTCTTGAATCCCTTTTTCAATCAGCTGAATAGGCAACTATGCCTTTCCGGAGTTCCAAACATCGACCAAAAGGGGGCCGAGTCCCGTTTACTCTGCACCAAGAACCTCCGCACCGGGGCACCGGCAAAACCGCCGCGCCGGCCACAAAAGTCGCACTGGCGACCCGTGGGGCTCCTCTGCTAGGAATCTCCTGGTCCGTGAGCAACAAAAATTCACCTGAAAGTGTGGTGTCCTCTCGCTCTCTGTGCTTTCACTGGGAGCTACAATCCTGAGCTGCTAGTAATCAGCCATCTTGGATCATGAATGTAATTTGAAGACACTTCTTCTAAAAGATAAATGTGTGTATGTATATATGTAGTTTCTATACATGTACATTTTATGTATATAAATTTTATGTGTTCACATATACACACAAAAAATTATATATATAAAATCATATATATGATATATATGTATATATATGCATATATAATATATAATAAATAATACATATTGTAATTATAATTATGTATACATATAATATTGCATATTATAATCCATTATTTAGAATAAGTATAATATAGATTATAACATGCATATTGTAATATATAATATATATTAACCTATATAATATGTATATATACATATTTACACATACATATAATATATGAAATATATGTGTATATATGTATGTATATTATATAATACATAATACATATTATAATATGCATATATAGTATATGCATATTATATAATACATATATATTATTTTATGTGATATATTATATAATGAATATTATATTAATGTATAGCACATATATTATATACAAACTTTACAATGAGTATAAAATACATATATATTTGTGTCACACCAGACTTGAAATTATTTTTGTTCAGGTCATTTATTCACCATGGTTGCCTTGATTCTAGTCTGCTAACCAATCCGGCCATAACTTCTACTGAGTGGAACTCAAAAAGTGAGTTAAAAGTCACACTTTTGTATGGAAAAATATTTGCAGTTCTTTGTTCTATTCACTCAGCCAATACATGTTATTATTATTATTATTATTATTATTATTCTTTATTTTAGCTTGGGCCTTCTATTCTGGGGTGTTTCTTATTTCCTCTCTGTCACAGAAGAGATTGGCAAGATTAGTAATTTAAATTAGCATCCAGTCTTAGAACCAGCCAGCATTGTGAGAAAGCAAGGCACAGAGAACTTCATCCTAGTTTATTAATTCTGTAATTAATTTTCATATTTTTCAGTCTAGAAATTTATTTTTGTCCTATCTCAGACATGTTGACTATGAATAGGTAGACTTTCCCAAGAACTTTCAATAGATTAGCTCTTACTTCTGCCACTGTTCTACTGCAGAGTGAATCTTACTTCCTGTCAGTTAACATTATTCCATATGCTTACCATTATCAAGGAAATTACAGTTTGTTTCTGCCCTTTAAAATTAGGTATTGTTTTAATAGAATTTCAAAATAAATATAGAACAGTTTTAAAAAAAAGTATAGCCTTCCATTTTTTACTCCAAATCAAGATAAAAACAGCTTTAAAAACTAGTTTGAAGACCTTACAACAGAAGTGTCAAAATTCTCTTTTCAAAGCCAAACGTTAGTTTTTACCTTCTGGCACGTGATATATAGTAGCTGCTTAGTACATGCTAACGAATGAATGATTGAATGTCTGGCTAAATTGGTCAGATATCTTTTACCCTATCATTATTTGTGTGAATTTGAACACATCACTAATCTAAAATCTCCGGAGCCTCAGTTTACATGTCCGCAAATTGGAGAAAATAATATTTTCTGAAAAGCCAGTTTATGAAATTAAAGGAAATAATAATACAATTTATATGAAAAACATAAAGGTTAGATACGATATAGCTTGATAGTTT